TTAATACTTGTCTTATGCGTCTGCACATATGGTTGAAGTGATTAATTTACCTCTGGGAAGAGATACGAAACGACAATTAACCAAGCTCATCAAAGTCAACAGAGAAAGCGTATATTATGCGATTTTTTCCTTGACAAGTTTTCTATATTTACTCTACGAAGACAGATATGCCTGTATAATGCCGAGATTGGTTTTATATGCTAAATGCTTGAAAACAGAAACATATTACCGCTTTTGTGCTTTTAGGTGCCAGACGAATTTAGGACGCAGCTACTCAAAGATATTTGAACAATGCGTCTATTTTTACATTGTTATTATTCATACATTCATATCTTAATCACTAATTCTATTACATCCATAGAGACTTACTTTTCACCGCTTCTACAGCTCACTTCTAGCTTAATGATCTATCACTTACCTGAAATAAAAAGAAAACGTGTATTAGTATCAATGAACCAACAGTATCATCTGAAATTGACAAACATAAATGAGGCGTCCAATGTATAAACCATTCCAAGACACATGAGGAAAAATGTCGAGGAAACATAAAAAACATTTTTGATGTACATTTTTTAGTTAATCAAAATTTTCCTATTTGTTGTCAATTGCGGTCAATTCGGCTTCATTATTTTTTGAATGTATCAATCTGTTAATAAAAAAATAAATATATATATAAGGGAAACATTAATGTTCTTGACTGGTTTGTGCAAAGTTTTTCGATTTTTTAAGGATAAAATTAATTTAAAACAAACTTTGACGTTAAAATGTTATTTTTTTGTTTAGTTTGATTCAACTTTTGATGCAAACTCAAGATATTTCCATTTATTCATCTTCAGTGAATCCAGTTTTATACGGAGTCATAACGTGATCAAGTTGATTTTTATTTAGCTTTCTTCTTTCACTATTATATCTTATTTGTAGTGTTTGGGCTGCACATTCCTCTTATCTCGTATTTCGAAAATAATCAACTGATGCAAACAGACTGTTTTACTACATTTGAATAATACCTCGTTATCTAGTTTTTCATAGCGCCTGATTCAATATTTTGAAATCGTAAATTTATTGTTCTTCCTTGAAGGATTCTGTACAAATTGCTGTTGCAAATGGGCCTTAGAATTAAAGAATATGGATGACTTTAAAGTTTTTGTTTGTATTTTCGAAAATCTTTCAGTACTGTTGCGGCAAATATATTTTGTCGTGCTTTTTTTTGTATTTCTATTGCTCCCAAGCTTCTATCACACGGAAGTAAGCTATTTCCGGGTTCGGGGTGTTAGACTGACAGCAAAAACCAGTCAAGTCAAGGACTTGATCAATTTATGCAAAGTATAAAAGCGTAGCCAGTTTCCACAATTTAAATGTTACAAAGTAGGTTTATGCACTGGAAACATCCAAAATCAGTAACGTGTATGACATTCTCAAATGATTGTTCATTCAACGCAAATATATTGTTTAGAGACTTTTGGAGATGGCATTTCATCCTTCCATCTGATTTCAAAATACACTTTTTACAAAGGTCTAGGCTTTTTCAAATATTACAGTTGTTGCTATAAGGCCCGGTTTTGCAATCGCAAGTTAACTTTTTGGTTAGATAACTATCGACAGGAAGTTAAATTGTACTTGCAAATGAGTTTTTCAAGTATTTTGACAGCGTCAGTTAACTTACCAGAAGTTCAACATATATTTATGTTACAGCCCTGTATCTGCGGTTCTTAGATATCGTGTTCTATGCGTTTTGTGCGCTCGGCATCTGTGTCCAATTCAGTTAAAATTTCATAAAATAGCCACAATCGAAATCCAGAAATTTCATTAAAAACGAATAAAACATAAAACCTTCGTCAAGCAAGGTAAGTTTTTTCAAACATTGCTCGGACAAATGTTTAGTAGTAGACCCTATAGACGGCATTATATAAATGGTGATAAAAAAGGTTGCAAATGCAATGTCTAATGAACCATACTAAGGTCAAAAAACGATTAAGTTGTAAATATCTGCTGAATATCGTATTTTCCACTTTTTTAACATCACTCCTATAATCTACAATCCAAAAATAAAGGGGACACACTATTCTTGTTGCTAAAATTTCTCAAAAACTGTTTTCTAGTATGGAGAAAGAGATCAAAAAGAGAGCTCAAAATTTCTCGAAGAATGAGGAAATGATGCTAATATTATTGGTGAGCAAAAATAAAGATGTAATAGAGAGCAAAACATGTTGCACAGTTACGTGGATACAGAAAAGTTCAGTACGGCAGGGCATCGAACAAGAATTCCAAGCCCCAGCAGGGTGCCACCGAGAGGCAAAAACTCTACGAGATAAATATTTCAATTTAAAGAAAAAAACAAAAAGCAAATTTGCTACAAACAAAAGCAATATAATCAAGACAGGGGGAGGTTCATGCCAATTGCAAGCATTCGATCTGATTGATACACAATTACAAGAAATAATGGGACCACAATTAGAAGGTTTGACAAACAATTATGATGATGACTGTAGTGACCAAAAAGAGGTGGTTACTGAACATGGTAAGTCTCATTGCTGTTTATTGAAGCATTTTTTTAATTATTCATTTTTTAGTTCCTGATGCAAATAACTATGGTGACAGTGAAGTGGTCTTCAATATAATGGGAAATGGAGCTCCTATACTCCCCAACAACTGAAGAGGCCCAAAACTACAAAGCTATCATGTACGAAAACCATACAAAATGAAAAATATATTTCTGTTAACTATATACTAATGGAAGAAAAGCTGAATTTTTTTAAACTACAAAACGAAAAATTCATCGAAGAACACAATAAAAAAATGGAAATATATATAAAAAAAAAGGTTCAGCCGTTAGATTTAGAGATCAACGCATTGGGACAAGTAGAAAACAAAGGATTTATTTTGTTAATTTCCGGAATATTTTCACTTTCACTCATTTTTTTTGTATTTCGCATTTTTGAGGATAATATGTTAGTTTAATAATAAACTGTTTTCAGAAAATCATGTTTATTTTTATTCTGTAGTTACAATAAATAGGGGATAATTCATATGTCAAGTAGATGAGAGCTATGGCGAAAACCTTAGGTGTCCAAAAAGATCGACTGAGTGCCCATTTTGAGGCTTGGGACATCTATTTTCAAAGGCCCTGTGCGCCTTTTTTGGGCAACAACAATTTTGGCCACGACTCTTATCCACTTGCCATGGATTATCACAATCTTATACTAAACAACTATCATCTAGTATCGAGTCATTCACTGAGCATCAGTGAATGTATTGAATCGATAAACAAATTTGCAAAATAATTATTAATAAGGTAAGTTCTAAGATTGTTGATTGCATTTTGTGGCAACCTAATATTTACAGGATCTGTCTTCACATTATCTACATGAACCATGTAAATAGCATTTTCCTGTTCAGGACTAGAGGGCATAGCTTCATTATTAGGACAAGCAATATTATGTAGCACTGCTGTTCCTAGAGTAACTGCTTGAGCTGTATCTAGATGAACTCTGAGACCCATAGCTAGACATGGAAATCTTCTTTTCCGAATTCCATAGCTTCTCTCTATAACATTGCGACTACGAATGGTAGATTCATTGTATAATTCTTAGCAGGAGTTGTAGTTGTATTTAATGGTGTCATCAAATGGCGTTTAATAGGATAACCTTTGTCACAGCCAACAAAGAGTTTCCAAAATGACCTGATTCAAATTATCTGCAGAGCTGAGAATTTCCGAAAATGTATGAATCTGCGTCAGAAACAGTTCAAAGAAAAAAACTGCTTTCGATTTCTGAAGAGCTCTGCATGGCCTTCTAGCTTATATGCGTGCAGTCACTTGCACCTATGCATCGAGGAAACCTAGCTATGTTATTTATAAAAGGATTGCTTGGCCATGGCAAGAGCCTCAAGAGTGTCCGGCATTTTTATGTAATTACTTATTTTACTCGTTAGTACTTTTAAGAATCTTCGGACTGTTTTGGATGCAGTTGATTTGGAAACCTCAGCAAAATGTCCAGCAACAGTTAAAAAACTTCCATTGCGCAGTGCTAAAAACAGCTGCTGTTGGGTCGCTAAGCAGTTATTCCTGGAATTACGAAGTCATGTAAAAATATGGAAATAAACAATAATATATACATCTACCTGCTTGTAGGATATACTAGATCTTCATAGACTTCGTCCAGGAGAGTTTCTACAGTCCTTTTTGTAAGACGAAATCTTGCAAGGAAATCGAGGTCATCAAATTCATCAAAGTAATTCGACCGATGGCGGATTATTTTTGGCTTTCTCGCGTCTTCGTCACTGCTATATACGCATTCACGTCGTAATCCATAAACATGTTCATAGCTTAAATTAATCGATAGATTGATATGGATTTGTTGTGATTTTTTGAATAAACGTCAAAGCTTATGTCAAAAAACGCCAGGTGTTGCTATTTAACTACAGCCTTTCTAGTTAACTCATAGATGGTCTTCTGGTTAAAGTTAGCTTCCGTTTTACTATAAACATGATATTGAAAAACGCTTTTTCATAAATACCTATAAGTTAAGACCAAGGTCGTAGTTAACCTGCGATTGAAAAACCGGGCCTAAGCAATATGTTATTTATCATACACAAAGCATGTTTTCTACTTAAAGTTATTCAAATGTTTGCAATGTTATGTCATCAACTGTGTACTCTATCCGTCAAGACTTGAAGAAATAACAGCCGTAGCAGATATATTGAACACCCCGCTGATACGGCAAATATTGAAATAATTAAGATAAGTGGTCAAGAATGGATAAGTAATAAATAATTGTAGAGAAATGATATATAAGTTTTCATAATTATTGCCGGTTAGTTGCATGACAAATTTGATATAGACATGTGGTAACTCTGGACTTGACATTTTACGCTGTGAATATGGGGTATTTTCCAAAAGTATTAGTAGTTTGACTCTGAAAGTATATTTCAAATATTTTTATTTTTTTATGTACGAGAGGTGACGAGAAATTGCCCAAAGTTTGATCACTAAACTCCATAAGCTATGACGCCTTGTCCTTGAATTCTGACGTTATCTTTGTTACAGGTGTAAAGAAGATATGCTTTCCTCCATTGGGTGCGTTCGGCAGCAGAATCTTAGCGCTGTCAAGAGTAGGTAAGCTGCTGAATGCCATCTAAATAAACTGAGAATCACTGAAGCGAATGTCAATGTATTCACTGTGATCGCGGAAAATAGTATTTATTGAACGTGTAGCCTGGACGTCAGGAGTATTGATGATAAGGACACAACCATCAGTAAATACTGGGCTACATTCGTAGATTGTTAGTGTTATATGTGCACTTTGTATTACCCTGTATCAATTTCAGCGTTCTCAATATATACGTATATGTTCCATGCATTCGGAAATAGAGCAAAGTAACCTTTATGAAACTTCAAAAGTGCACCTGTATTCCTGTGCTCAGAGCCTTAAGAATAAGAGTGTTCACTTGCCATTCTCATCGCTCATGGTTTGTTTATTTTATTTGGTTACCAAAAAGCGCTCAAAATTCTCAGAATATATATTTTTCAAGATAAATGGGCTACCTCTTACCCATAGCTTTGAATACTATAAAAACAATTGTCGCAGAAAACCTGGTTAGAAATTGATCGGCTGCATGTCATAAGACGTCTCTCATAGTTTAGGTGTTCTGAAATTTCATCAATGTTCATTCTATTTCTGTGCACGATATTACATTACCGAGTGATTCACAAATGCATACCGGTAGCGACTACAGCAAATACTGACAATATAACGTTTACCTTACAGTGAACATAATAACCTGCTAAACCATACTCCAAACAGTGCAAAGATTCAGCTGTTGAATGCAAGTAAATGCAGGCAATCATATTTCGAATATGCTAGTCATTTCTACACAAGAGCGAAAAGGTGAGGATATACTGTATCGTGATTGAAAAATGGATGCAAATATTTTATTTTAGATTTCAAAAGCGGAGATATCACTTGAAAACATTATGAAAAAGACCACGAAACACAGGCAAAGGTCCAACTTGGTACAGAAAAAGCCAATGGTACAGCAACATAAATAAGATGAGGAAAAACGTGCTAGAAACAATACCAGCAGACAAATAAACAAACCTGGTCATCCAATCCAATCTGAAGACGAAACAGGCGCAAGCTTATTAAGGAAAAAGGAATAAGAAGAAAGATAGTACAGTTCCATACCCAGGCTCAAGACCAAGGGTTTCTTACCGGTTATATTTCCATAACTTCACCACCATGATAAATGTAAAGACACCTCTTTATATTTCTGTTTGTACATCACATATATTTGGTATATTCAGAACATAGGGACACATATTAAGTCCTTGAAGCCCACAGCAATTAATGCTTCTTACGTTCCTAAGTTTTCGTTAGTCACGCGCAAACTTGAATGCAAAATTGCCCATTGAATCAAGCACATTTAAATTCCATCAACAGCAGATCAATTAAGATAAGCTTCGGTGTCATAACGGTGTTTACAAGCACTGTGCATGAAAGGTTTGGATGGAAATAGAATTACCTTTTTGGAAATGTGAGTCCTTGTAGTGGTATTGAGGTGACCTTTAATCGATGATACTATATATTCGGCATATTTGTTGCACTGAGAAAACGTGCTACCTTAAATAAGTTTTCTGACAAAAATTAATTGCAATTAATGATTTTTTAAAGCTACTAATTAACTCAAATAATTGGTTTAAGTAACCTGAATTTTCAGGGAACAGTTAAATTGAAAGGCGATACTTTATCGAACTAATTTGCTTGGAAATAGTAAATTATGTATCTTTTTTATTACGCCTTATGCTTAATGAGCATAGTTTGAGTACGACAAGTACATTCAACACAATTAAATCTGCACTACGCAGAGGTACAGATTTTGATCAAATGTTCAGCTGAATAGCGTATTCGACACGTTTTGATCTCAACATGTTCATGTACGAGTTTCATGACGAATGGTGAGTTTGTTGCTAATGTGTGTTTAAGATGAAGTTGTAGATATTTCAATATATTCACTTAAAAATATAAGAATAATAATAATAATAATAATAATAATAATAAGAATTGAATAATTTTTCAATTGGCTTAATTAAAATTCTTTCTCAGTGCGCGTTCACAATATTAAATAGGGTTTGAAGAGACGAAATCTGGTTGTCGTTCCATAAGCCCTTATACAGGGTAAAGTCGTGACCAAAAATGAAACGTCATACGCAGGACCGCATTTTAAGGAGTGTGTTTTATGTAACATTTTTCCCTCGAAGGGTGCATTAAAACGATACTGGGTGTTGAAGTTTAAAAATAAAAAATACTTTTTAATACTGTATCTTCAAAACCGTCATCTGGAATGAACTAAAATTTGGTATGTGGATTTACCTAGATTTACATTCAGAAGTCTTTACTTAAAGTTAACGTGCATCAGTAGCAAACGTACAGGGGATTAGTGGCACTATTTTTCCAAATAAAAACGCGCAATTTTTTCAATTTTACCTTTAATTTGCTAAAAATATTTACTCTTGTGTTTTTTCCTAGCATAGTCAGAAATTACCAGTTCTACTTCATATAGTTTCTTAAGTTTTGCAATGTGCATTTATTGGGTCTGACATATGTAATTGATATTTTTCTTAATTTTGTTTATAGGAAGCGAATACCATAATCGGTAATTTGTTTACATTCCTATCACCCAGTTACGTTAATTTCATAGAAAAGTAGTTCAACACAGTACTTAAGTAATATTATATTCAATTGCAACTATAATTATTGATTGGTGATAAATTGGTTAAATACATGATGGTTTCAAAATTGCTGCTAATAATATAGATTATTTACTTTATGATTATTGCGAATTAATATAAATAGTTTGGCAATGAAAAAAATAGGTTTCTAGGTTTCAAGTTCTGCGTGGAGCTTCAGATTGAATGGGAGTGTGACTTTTGCATTTTGTAACATATTTAGATCTCCGAAAATCCTGTAAAGCTCAAACTATGACTAGAAAAAATTACGCACAACTATATTTCGACCGCAAATTAATGTTACCGTTTCATGTTAAGCTACGTTGCGTAAGCTTTGACGGCACCTTTGGAAACGGTGCTGAATAATTTCTTGAACAGCACAACTCCGGCTTAAGCAGCTTAAGTACCATATCTTAAATCTTAATTACAGTATCGTCGTTGCACGCATCTTGAAACAATGTTCTTTACACTTTCCTACACATACGTTACCCCCATAATGTTATCCGCAACAGAATCTTAATTGTTCAATGACTGCTGAATTACAATTTCCTATTGTCTCAATTAGATGAGAATTTAGAACAGAATTTCTTATAATATATACTACAATAATCATCACTGGCAGGAACTGTGAGATGCTCTTTTTTATAAGTTTGATTCTTTCTTGACAACCATAGGTATTCTTTCAAGGGCGTACTGGGGGGATAAAATGGAGAAAACATTTTTTACAAAAAATAAGCTATTCGTGTATATGGTTCTCCACAAGTTGAATCATATGCACGAGGCATGTCTTTCAAGTTTTGCATATCGAAATAAAACAACGCGGTAGGTAGTTTTGAATGACTTAACTGTTTTTCGAAGTATTCTCCACGAAGATTAATACACATCTGCATGCGCTCGAACCAATTTTCGAAGCACTTATTCCACTCGTTTGCTGGCAGATCCAAAACGGCATTTTTGAATGCGTCAACTGCTTCTTCTGGTGACTGGAACTTTTGACCAGGTAGTCTGTTTTTAATTTTCGGGAAAGTAAAGATATCGTTAAGACTTAGATAGGGACTATATGGAGGATGGTCCAATAATTCCAAGTTTTCTTCCGTTAAATAACGCCTTGTTTTTTGGGCTGTGTGCGAGCTTGCATTGTCTTGGTGGAGGATGATTCTTCTTTTGGGGTTGATTTTTCCAAGCTCGATGATGACTTTTGGCAAACAAATGGTGGTATACCAATCCACAGTAACAGTTCTTTGCTCATTAAGAGGAATTGTCGCCATATGACCCGCTTTTGACACAAATGTCGCGACCATCTTTTTCGAAACACTTCGAGAACGGATGACTTTTGTTAGCTTTTCTTCACCTTGGAACACCCAAACAGCCGACTGTCGTTTATTTTCTGGTTCATAACAGTAAATACACGATTCATCACCACTAACAGTGCTGTACACATTTTTTGATTTTCCGAAATTGAAGCGGTCAAGCGTTTTTTGACACCAATTAAACCTGGCTGCTTTCTGCTCTTCAGTCAACAGGTGGGGTATCCAACGAGAAACTAATTTTCTTACTCTTAATTCTTCATGTAACATTTTTTGAATTGAGGTCTTTGAGATCTTCAAGGACGCCTTAATCTCGCGATATGTCACATGTCTATCTTCCATGATGAGTTTGCGCACAGCATCGACGTTTTCCTGGGTGACTGCCGTTTTTGATGCACCCTGGGATCGTCGCTGAGACTCACCCGTCCACCTTTGAATTCTCCATACCAACGGAAAATTGTCGAATGATATGGCGATTCGTTGCCGAAAACCGACAGTAACTCAGCAAGGCATTCTTGTTGCGATAATTGTCTGTGAATGTTGTAATAAATTATGGCGCGAAAATGTTCTCGGTTGAGTTCCATTTTTCTAATGACTTGGTGACACTTAAAAATTCACTATAGTGAGAACACTGCACGTATTGTTGTGAAACTTTGAATTTAAGTTTACTAAAGAGTGAGGTTAAGATTCAGTACTGACGTTCGATCCGCGCGGCCTACTATGTTTCTATATGCAAAACTTAAAAGACATTCCTCGTATTAGACGAGACATTACTAGGATTTGTTGAAATCTATGTTAGATATAAACTTAATTTTGCTTAGTAATGAGAGCAAGTTGCGTTGGTAAATAAAAAAATTGAACTTGGACAGTTTGGAAATTCCATGGTTTTAATTTTTTCCTGACCTTAGTCAGAAACAAAACTTTTTAAACATCCGCATTGTCTACAAATTTAAAAAAATTAGACGACAATTTTACCACTTTTGCTCTTCTACACGGTGGCACGGTGTTTTAAATTATAGTTTTTTCGATGTCTTCATGATTACCCTTAATAATAATTTGAAATTATTATTATAAAGAATTAAAAACTAATCGCCTATGTAAAAATAGCATGCATATGAAAAATCAAAGCTGAGAGGGGCGTAAGAGACGAAAAATCATATTTAAGCCACCTTGTAGAGATCAAAAACAAGTAATTTCAATGTGCAGATTATTTTGAATATCTATCTCAAATAAATTCGTGAAAAATTAGAAACGATTTAGGGAAAATTCGTTCACTTATCCGTGTGTCTCTGGAGATACTGGAAGCAATTTTTCAAATGCATTTTCTAAAATATATAACTACGAAACTTTGCCACCATTCAACCGACCCGTAGGCATCTCTTACCGTTTTGGAGATCACAATGGTGAAAATATGAAAAAATTGTTATTCAAATCATTCTTGAATGAACCAGGTACGTAATTCTATAAAAGTATTTTTGGTTATATGAACAAATTTCAATTGTAGAAATACGACGAATAAATGTCGACAAACACAAATTATTTCCGGAATTAGTTTAATATGCTATATCCCCGGCAATATAAACACTACTCCCTTTAAAGAGGCATAGAATAGTCTAAAAGATATATGGTGTACTATTTGAAAAATCTTTTTTGTTGTCATGCCGTTGTGAATCATCGTGTACGTTTTATGTCTTATAGCAATGGCGATATTGTCCAATTAGACTAAACCCTTCCTTTTTGAGCTGGGTGCTGCCCGACTACTGAAAGTCGCATTTTCACAGGTCTCAAGGCTATCTAAAAGAGACTCGAGCTCTCGAAAACAAGTGAGAAAAATGAATACTTTGGATCGAAATATGAGTGAAAATTAGTATTTACGTAGAATAACTACGTTGCTGGCTATTGAAAATTGAGGAGTAGGAGACATTTGTGACAAGCGTGACAATGCGTATAGATTGGTTTCAAGAAAATCCAAAAAGTTATTGAGTGGTATGTGAAATCGACCTTTGAAAAGCGTTTTGCTCAAAGCATCCCGCTGGGATGTTAATGATCTTGAACCACATTGAATTCTGAATATTTCAACAAGGAAATTATTAAGCTTAATTGCATCAAATTCTAATACGGAATAACGTGAATGTAAAATAATCTTATCGTCAAAAGTATGTCACAACCACATCTCAACCAGTCGTCGATCTCAGATCGTATAAAAACGCAGATCGCAATACCAGATTCAACAGCGCATGCAAAGAATCCTGAACATTTTAATAAATACGAGAAGAACGAGATGCGAAAGGTAATCGCATAATGTATAATTTTCCGCAATAATTCATAACTATCAAAGGCAATTTACTCAGTTATATATTAAATCGCATTTATTGATACGATTTCGCAATGCTCACCGTTTACAGTTGCGGTTCTGTGCAGGAAAAAAATGCTTTCGTTGATCGGAAACAAGGATATTTCACGATTTGCGCTGAACACGATTTTAAACAAGCATACTACTGCCTGAACGCTAATATATTTTAACGAGAGCCTACAGCAGTTATGACAACTTTATGCGAAGTTGAATGCATAATTACGGGAATATTTGCGTGGTATTTTTATTTATGGGGTTTTGAAATGTCACATACTGGAAAGAGGTACTTACATAATGTTATAAAGATATATTCACAATGACTTCGGATTCAGTTTCACCGACTCAAAGTACGTATGGTAGTGGTTATTTATACCACAATTATATTTACAAAAAAAATGCGTCAATTGAAAAGCCATCATCAGTTCATAAAGATTTATGTTTAGCACAAGTTAGACCTTCTGAGAAAAAGCACAGTTAGGGACATGTATAACCGAGAAATTAAATGGATAAAGTCCGTCAATTTGTCCATGACATTCTTTCCGAACGCTACCGGTAGTGCCGTCCATCTGGTGGCAACACTGTCCTTCCTACGTAGCTGACCACATGACGGGTCAGACACGGCAGCACGGCACCGCGTTAGTAATGATAGGACACTTATCGAGACCGGCACGCCCGTCGGTGAACCTAGAAAGTACAAGCAAAGGCGCGTATTGAAATCTTTTCTCAATTTTTAAGGGTTAATGTACGGACAAATCTATGTTGTGTGAAATATGTCTAATAGGTGTGTAGAATTACCGGGGTTGGCAGCAGACAAGTATACCAACATCGAATAATTTGGATATTCCACCCCTATAATCCTCAACTCGCCATTTTAACACCCACAAAAATGTTTCTGGAGATGATCAGGAGTCTTTGAATCGTTAAAAGACGCAGTTAGACGCTTTAATCTTTTTCGTTTTTTGCCCAGCAGCTTCACCGCCACTGGACCGATTTTCAAAAACTACAAAGCTTTTTTTTACCGGTGATGCGGGCCGGTGAAACCATATAGCCATTTACTCCTTTTTTATACGTTATATAGGCTATTAAAGACATGAATTTTTAAAACTGTTTGCGCATATATGATGTTGTATGGTTTCCGTTGTTGCTCGATTGCTGGGATTTACAAAAGCCTTGATAAGTAGTGAACCTCCCCTCCCGCCTATCCTGTAATGAACAAACCATGTTTTCAATTAATTTGGAGGCTTTGGTAATGTAATTTATGAATAAAAGACCTACGAGATAATGACTGATTCAAACATATGTTTTATTGAAGTATATTTTTTGAAGAATCTAGACTTGCTTGTGTTTTCTGTTTGTTGCGTCCGTTCTATTCATTTTTTTTCGCATCTCCTTTCATTGAACATCTGACTAATACGATGATTCAGAAGGTTGTCTCCAACTTCTTTTCTTGTTTTCGCAATCGGCACTGACTTCAAGTCAAAAATGCTACTAATGTCAAAGTTTCCGTTAACTGCCAGACTTTTTGAACTGACAATGTTGACGAGTACTCCTGCCTTGGTTATCTCTAAAGATGCATTTTCAGTTGTAACTCGAACATGTACCTTGTTTTGTTAGTACATACATGACAAACTGAACCTTTGTGGAAGTATCAACAGGTTAGCATTTCCTAACAGTTTGTTGTCTCATCAGTAAGCTTGCTACAATATACAACTTCCTCGTTTTATGTGAATATTGGAGATGAGTAGACCGCAGTAAGGTAATAAACACATTCTATCATCCTTTTAGCACCATCGTAAATCAATTTTCGCTACCGGAACTTCCAGCAAACTCAAACAAATCGCTGTTAATCAAACCTGATGAACGCTGGAGTAGCACTAGCGAGAGTCCTCCCGATGCCGCAGGATTATGATATTGGCGTTGACTTTTACGATGTGTTTATTGTGTTTAATGCGCATAACAGTCACGGAATCGGTTTTATGGCATCGTAAACTAACCGAGGAGTAGCACACCACGCCGCCAGTACCGCTCCGTCGTCGTGTAGCTAGCGCATACGGAACATGTTGAATCTGATAACTCTCACAGGGCAACCGACATCCGTATCATGTAACCTGAAAAGTGACATCATATCCATATTTAAATCACACCTTGGAACTACCTGACATCCACTTCACGTTCACTTGTAGTTGCTGGGCTATATGGCTCTGATGAATGTGCTTCAGAAATGGCACCTACTGCAGCGACGACTAGTCTAATAAACTGCGTTGATGGTGATTCCATTGGTGCCTATAATACACTTACTTAAGATCTATACAAAGCCAGAAATTATCATTTCAAGCGAATAACTAATATTCAGCAATGAGTTTCTCACATAGCATGGGTATCAATGTCAAATATCATTGAAGGTGTAGACATGCACACCAATACAAACAAGCATTCAGATGTGATCATCATACTTGAAAATACTTTCTTCGTCAGATCTGTTTACAAGTATACTTATACTTCCTATTGCATTCATTTGAGATTGTCAGTTAGACCCGACGCTACCATATGTTACGAAGCATTTCTGTACACCAGAGCCAGACTAGGTTAGTTCCATTTTTGTCAAAAATGAGTTTAATATGTTAAGCTTAGGATAATATTGTGAGTTTTCATTTGCTACATGTGGCATCCATCTATCTGTAATAATAAGGAAGTTACGACTTTTTAACTCAGGCCAAGACGCATACAACACAATGCAAGAAAAATATTTCAAATGCAATTATCTCAAGACCACTTATGTGGACTTAACCTAGTCTGGCTCTGAGGTACAGATTGTTAAAATGAGTACAAAATGTCGTGATACAAGACAATGAAAATATTGCATTTCTATGTAAAATACAGTGTTAGTAATAAAAAAAATCTACAGTGCCTTCTTTGAACGGGATATGTTAGGGAGGCTGAAATTTGGAATGATGACACGTAGAAGCTATATTCTAACGTAAGAATAAAAAATCCAGATTACGGAAAAGCCATTTTTTCAAATGGAATCAGGGTCACGAGATGCCTAGTTTTAAATCACAGTAATTTATAACCATAGAATATCAAATCACTCTTTTCTAAAATGGCGGATAGGCAGGCCGTCAAAGTTGAGGATCTTTGTACATCGAATCGCATAAAACTAGACTACCTAAATGTAGAAACGTTATAATGTATTGTAATTTTTCTTCTTAAAAAAAAGTGACGGATTTTGACAATT